CAACTGATCCCGATCTTTTACATACTGTTTAGCATCATTTCCCTTCCCTCCTCCTTGTGATGTACTTGTAAACCTATTATTATTTAACTTCTCACCATCTCCTGTTATATAACAGAACCTTACTCTAACATCTACAGTATGAGGAATACCAGGAAGACTATCAACAAACTTCTGCCATGTTGTCAAACTCATTTTGACCCGATAAAGCTCAATGTACTTTAAACTCTTCATCTCTAAAGGTAAATGTATTACATTGTCAGCTAACCTACAATCCCTTAACTCAAGCTTACTGAGATTGTGTATCAATGGTAATACTGTGACTAGTCTCTTTGTTATGTTGGTATGATATAATTGTAATTTATTGAAATATTCTCCATACAATTCAAGTTCTTTCAATTTGTAAGATTTTCTTATAATATCAAATATTTTCCCGTAATTAATATCTTTCAATTTACAATATTTAAATATGTCAAGGTTTGTTGTATCAGCATCTATCACACTAACAGCATTATACAAATTAAGGTACTGAAGTTGTTGATGTTTTGATAAATTTACATCATGCTGCTTCCCACACAAACATTTAACACGACCAAGATGTATTTGTTCAAGATGACTGGTTCCCTCAAGAAAATTACAAAATGTAGTAGTATAATCATGACTCATTCTTATATCTCTCATAGATATTGCTACAAGATTGATCACACTAGGTAGGTAACTAACAAATGATTTATACACTGGGTAATGCTTGCGAGTGTAAGGAACACTACTAAGAGACAGATACTTTAATGTTGAAGTGTTTTCTTTAATTGTCTCAGAAACACAATTTTTTACCTCAATAATCCTCTGTTCATAACTCTGTGTACTAAATAACCTGTAAGATTCATGACTACATTCTATTGTAATTTTTTCAAGATGATTAAACATTGGTAAATATTTTGTAAATTTAACTTTAAATGTGTTGATGTCATCTACCTTAATAGAAAGAACAGTGTCAGGAACAATTTGATGCTGATCAATACCTGAACAAACAATATCACGAGATTCCATCTTTCAATGACCAAATCTCCTATATAAAATACAGTGTTATTTCCTATACTACATGCTGCATTTAATTCTTCCATTGACTCAAACATAAGCTTTTGAATATCTGTAATACAACTATGATCCAAATAAATGTTACCACTTATTGTTCTCCTGTATTCCTGAACACGAGAGTCTTTTGACACAGTATCATATATGTATTTTGAAACATGTGTTGCTAATCTAGGTTCAAGACCAGATAGCATAATGATAACATTTGATTGCTCTAATATGTCATTTACTGTTGAACATTTCTGAAAAACCTCATAAATACACTTTTTGGCTAATTCAACATTTCCTGTACTATCTGACAAACCAATTTTTGCATTGAAATTGATGCCAATATACACTGCAGCCAGAAATTCTTGCATTGATTTGTGAATGAAAGAGAACATAGAGCTTTTAGGTTTGGATACAGATAAAGAAGGACATTTATCTTCTGTCAAAATTCCCAGTTTCAGACATGTTTCTTGCACTTCATGTGATATTTTTAAATCATCAAACACAGATTTTTCAAATGTTAAGGACTTATCCTTCGGATAATTGAACAATGTCTCATAAGCCAAGCATGACACACCATATATAAGATGACTATTTAATCTACATATCTCTACATCTGTTAAATACTGAGGGAGTTCAACATTCTGAGAACTTTCCATATATTCTGTATTCTTTCCTAAAGTTTTATTGATATTCCATGTGAAATAAAGTTCTAACATACCAGTATAAATAGCACACCTTGAAGTTTTATCAAGTTTACCATCACACCATAGACAAACAAATTGCTGCAGCATAATTGGTACCTGTTTCAGGCCAACCAGAGACTGTACATTAAGCTTTTGTTCACACACATAAGGGTCTAATGATTCCTTCAATGCTGTAATTGTTTTCTTAATCATTTCTTTTTCATGTGTTTTATCAAAACCTTTTAATTTCAATAATTGATGAATCTCTCTATTACTTACTCTCAAACTGTGAATTTTCCATGGCCGTGATGTAGTAACAATGGTGTATTTCTTTGTAAAGTCACGTTCCGGAAGGCCTGCCTGGAACTCATTTCTAGTCTCACTGTCAAAAGACCATTCATCTAAACCATCAAGCAAAATAATTATCTTTTCAGAATCATTTTCCAGAAGTTTACTTAACCTCGTACAAATGGTCAATGAAAGTACACGAAATGACAATATTCTTGATCTATTGCTCATTTCAAACCACACTCTTGTTAACAATGTCAAGGTCATACCTGGCATATCAGATCATGACATCATATCCACAGAAATATCTTCTAGGCCTACCCTCCTCAAACAAAAACCTCGTACTTGCACCTTGTATAAAAAGGCAAAATGGACTGAGTTGAAAACCTTCATTAAAACCTCAACATCTGAAATACTTCAAAAAGCTGAATCTTTGTCTGTTGAAGAACTTTGGTCGCAGTTCAAACACACACTTGAGGATGGCATATCAAAATTCATACCCACTAAAAGAATTACAGCTAAACCATCTTTGCCCTGGATAACAAAATCCATTAAAAAATTAATTCATAAAAGAGATCAGCTCTATAAAAATATTAAAAAACCAAAAACAAATAAAAATAAATCTGATCATGATCAATGGCTAAAATTTAAAAATTTGAAATCGCAAATAAAAGCTAGAATTAAACAATCATATGAATCTTACTTAGAAAACATCCTGAACCTTGCAGATGAGGATGATGAAACTAATACACAAAGTAAAGTTTGCACCAAAAAACTATACTCACTTATAAAAAACTCTAAACAAGATTCACAAAGTGTGTCTCCATTAAAAGATCAAAAGTCAGGTTCTCTCAAAATTAATAACACTGAAAAAGCAAACATTCTTAACAAACAATTTCAATCAGTTTTCTCACCAATTATACCACTCACACTTAAAGATCAATGTATACAAAAACTGAGACTCATGGATCCCAGAAAGTATTGTCAGTACCCACAAATGAATGACATCATCATCGGTAGGGCAGGTGTACTAAAGCTCCTCGCCAACCTCAATGCCAACAAAGCTGCCGGCCCTGACAACATTAGACCAATTGTCCTGAAGGAGCTGAGAGAAGAGATTGCTGACATCGTTGCAGTTCTTTTCCAAAAATCCCTGACCACCGGTAATATTCCCAATGACTGGACCCGTGCAAACGTATGCCCTGTCTACAAAAAAGGGGATACAAGTGATCCAGCAAACTATCGCCCAATTTCCCTTACATGCATCCTCTGTAAAACACTTGAACATATAGTTGCCTCTCAACTATCCTCTCACTTTACCACCCACAACATACTCTTTGATCTTCAGCATGGATTCAGAGAAAGACGATCATGTGAGACACAACTCATTGAACTTACTGATTACTTTGTGAACAACCTTTCAAATGGCAAACACACAGATCTTATACTTCTTGACTTCTCCAAAGCTTTCGATAAAGTAAACCATCTTAAACTCTTAGATACCCTGCAAGAACATGGTGTTTGTCCTCAAATTCTAAACTGGATACAGTCATTCCTTATTGGCCGTAGACAGACAGTAGTTGTGGATAGTGACTGCTCATCTGAAGTCCCAGTTACCTCTGGAGTGCCCCAAGGCTCGGTCCTAGGGCCCCTCTGTTTCCTTCTATATATCAACAAGTTACCATCTTCTGTCCTCAAATCCCAAGTCAGATTATTTGCAGACGACACTGCTGTATACCTAACCATCAATTCCTCCTCAGACCCCCCAACTCTCCAATATGATCTAGACAATATGGTTCTGTGGGAGAAGCAGTGGGACATGGAGTTTAACCCTTCAAAATGCCAAGTCATCCATATCACCAAAAATAAGACCATAATTAAACACAAATATATGCTCCATGGCCAAATCCTAGAGTCTGTTACAAATGCTAAATATCTCGGACTAGATCTATCTGCTGACCTTAAATTTAATACACATATATCTCGAATAACTTCCAATGCAAACAGATCCCTTGGCTTTATTAAAAGAAATGTCATCACTAAAAATGAGAAAGTAAAAGAACTAGCATACAAGTCCCTGGTCCGCCCACAGGTTGAATATGCCTCATCTATTTGGTCTCCTTATACTAAAACCAATATTGACAAAGTTGAGATGATCCAGAGACGTGCAATAAGATGGGTTAAAAGGGATTACTCCCCTCACTCTAGTGTCACAGCCATGCAGAAGAACTGGGCTGGCGATCCCTTGAACATCGCAGACTGGACTGTAGACTGATAATGTTTTATAAGATATACCATAACCTAGTTGCAATTAATCTCCCAACTTATGTTCAAACCCCACATAGATTAACCAGACATATGCATCCCTTATCCCTACGTCAAATACAGGTATCCTCCGACTACCATAAGTACTCTTTCTTCCCTCATAGCATTATACTATGGAATAAACTTCCTAGAAACATTGCCACCCTGCCCAACCTGAGTCAGTTCAAACAGGCAGTGGTGGGTTTGCAGTACTAGTCTTACTCCCAGTGTTTTTAAACTATTTTATCTCTTATCATCTTGTTTCGCTATTAACATTTTAACCATGACTAGAATACATTCTCAGTCTCACCTTCCAAGCATGTCAATGTTTGGACTTTTCTTTTTAGCTTTTCTCTTCACCTTTTACTAACAATCCGACGTGCACTAAATTCCTGCCTTTAACACTCGTAAGAGGGGTTGGCAGTATCCAGAGATAGATAGATAATTTTTGTATCTTATCATATCGCATTTCAAGCATTTCTTGGATACTTCGGATATTTACATTATGTCTAAGAGAAATATAAAACATGAAATCAAATTTCTTCATTTCCTTGACTCCTTCAAACTCATCATCTGCATTGTGTCCATCACTGTGTGCCATACACCAACATTTGATCAAATATTTACAGAAACTACTCTTACCAGACCCTGCATCTCCAACAACATAAATAAATTTCTGTGGATCCCCGTTCTTTGTGAAAATCTCTGACATGGTCTTTATTTCTTTTTCCTCAGACTCCCCTCTATTCTTTTCTATCTTGCTTGTTATAGTGGGTCTTATATAAACATCACTGAAGTTATAATTTTCCTCATCTGGTTGTAAAGGTATTGCTGATACTTTAAGTACATCACTGCGATAATGTTCTATCAATTGAGTACGACAACCTGAAATTTTTTGAGCAGCCAATAAAATCAGCAAAACTCACAAATTATCTTAACATAACAAGATTCCTTCACAAACTAAAGAGTTCTCTGACATTGAAATGATGATTTTGTAGTAAGTGCTGTTTTGTAAAAGTATAAATTAAATGTAAAATATATGCAAAAATTATCACAATTAGGACAAAATTCACCTGTTCTAGCCTTATAAAATTATATGAAGCATACCTGATTTAGCCTTTTCATATTCTATATAACATGCCTGATTTCGCATTTTCATAATCCATATAAAATGCCTGATTTAGCCTTTTCATATTTTTTATATCATAACTGATTTAGCCTTTTCATGTTTTATATAACATAACTTATTGAGCTCTTTCATTCTATAATATAACATAACTAATTCAACCTTTCAAAATTTAAATTACATACCTGATATTTTGCCTTTTCATATTTTATATAACATACCAGGTATTGCCTTTTCATATTCTATATAAAAAACCTTATCAAGCCTTTTCAAATTCTTTATAATATACCTATTTAGCCTGTTTCGTTCTATATAACACACCTAATTTAACCTTTCATATTCTATATAACATACCTGATTTAGCCTTTTAATATATTACATTACATGCCTGATTTAGCCTTTTCTTATTCTATTCAAAATATCTGATTATGCCTTTTCATATCTAAATCACATACCTAATTTAGCCTTTACATATTCTATATAACATACCCGATATAACCTTTTTGTATTCTATATAAAATAACTGATTTGGCCTTTTCATATTCTATATAAAATACCTGATTTAGCCTTTTCATATTTAAATCACATACCTGATTTAGCCGTTACATATTCTATATAACATAGCTGATTTAGCCTTTTCATATTCTTAATACATTTGAAGCATACCTGATTTAGCCTTTTGAAATTCTAACTGTTTTTGTTGAGGAGAATCTTCTTCCTTGAGTCTGTTTATCTCCTACAACATAAATAATAATACAAATAATTATGTTTAACTCGGTAATTTTCAAAAATGTTTATTGTATACAGTAATATTGGCATTTTCAGTCAGTATGTGTCCCCAAGTCATTCTACGTCGCAATATATCTCATAAAAATCAAATCAAATTTCCTTATTTGAAAATCAATTTTATTGCAATGGAGGAATCCTCTATGCATGGAGCATCTTTTATTTTGACATTTTAGGTGCATTAGTCCCTTTTTAAATTTCTACTAGATATTGGAATTGAGGGACAATCGCTCACCTGAATATGAATATTCTCCATGACAAGGAACAAGTAATATATTAATACAAATGAAAGCAGATATAAAACAAAATCTTAAACTGATATCACAAAGTTCATATTTGGATCTGAAATAGTGCATGTGTAACAAGAGGGCCATGATGGCCCTGAAGTCACTCACCTGAATATGCCCCCCCCCCCCCTCTGGGGGGTCAATGTAAACCCCAAGGGCTTTTATTTTATCAAACATGGTAGACATCCATTAGAAGATGTTTTATGCTAAATATCTTAGCTCTAGCTCTTTAGTTTTTTTAAAAGAAGATTTTAAGTTTTTACTTCACACATATAGAGAACAAGAGCTGTCACCCAAGTGACAAATGCTGCCGAAAAGCATTATTTGACTCCACAAATCGTCTCTATGTTGTAGACATTTATGCCAAGTTATTCTTAAAATCCTTCAATGCATGACAAACTTACAGCCCGGACACTATTATATGTACCTATTAATTCTAATTGTGATAAATTAAATGTGAAACTTCAAAATGATAGTGTGACCTTGACCTTTGAGGTAGGGACGTGTTTCTTGGACGCGAAACAACATATTTGTGTAGTAGCCATTTTTGCAAAGTTATTTCAAAATCCCTCAATGTATGACAAAGTTACAGTCTGATCACGAATGAAGTGCGACCCACATGAAGGACGCACAGACGGACGGATGGTCAGACAGATTGTGCGATTTTAATATGACTCCTTTCGGGGGCATAAAACAATACCCCCCCAGGCTGTTCCAATTTTTAACCCAGGATTTTTATTTGAACAAACTTGGTAGACACTCACTCGATGGTGTTTCATGATAAGTATCTAAACTGCAGCTCTTTGGGTTTTTTAAAAGAAGATATTTTAAGTATTTACTTTACACAAATAAAAGGAAAATCAATGACTCCCCGCCATGACGGGGCCAATTTAAACCCATGGGCTTTTATTTGGTAGACACCCATGCATAGTTCTGCATGAAATTAAATTCTAGAACAAATTTTAAAGATGACCACTTAAGGAACATTCATGTGAAGTTTGGGTAAAATTGGCATAAAAATACGCATCTTATGTGGAGCACTTAACCCTTTCGCTGCCAGAGGGTTATTGTTTTATTGATCACCTATTTGCCAGAGGGTTTTTCTAAGAAATTACTATATTATTAATTAATATAATTATTATTATTAGTTATTAGTATTATAATAATTATATTTGTTTCCAAATCAATGAGTATAATAATAATTATTATCGATGGTATAATTTTCTTTATATTTATTATTATTATTATTATTAATTTATTATTAATATTATTATTATTATTATAGAAACGGCTAAAGCCATCTATATGGCAAATACCCAGAAAATAACAGGGACGGCATAAGCTGTCCCTATGGCAGTGAAAGGGTATGGGGGAAGCAACAGTTCCATAAAATAAATGGTTTCCTTGGAAATTAGTTCCTGATATAGAATTAAATGGTAGATTCACTCGTTGCCATGGAAAGTTAATGTTTGCTGGTTGCTATGAAATTTTACAGTTTCCTATGAAAAGTCAATGGCTGCTATAAAGTCGCTGATTGCTATGAAATCTTAGCTTTATCTCTTGTAGATTCAGGGAAGAATTGTTTTTAAATTGTTTTACAATAAACATATAAGGTCAATCGATGTAACCCCAGGGTGGTGGTGGGGCTATAATTTAAACATTTTGTGTAGAGTTTCATGTTATTTACCAAATATCTAAACTTCTGTAGTATAACAGAAAATTTATTTTTTCTATTTATAAATAAGGGAAATCATTTTCCCCCCTGCGGCAAGGCCAATTTTGACCCCCAGGCTTTTATTTGAACAAACTTTGTAAACAACTCCTAGAAGATGTTTCATATTAAATATCTAAGCTAAAGCTCTGGTTTTTTTTTTTAAAGAAAATTGTGTGTGTGTGTTTTTACTACATACATATAAGGAAAATCAATGGCCCCCATAGACATGGAATTTTTACCTCATGGTTTTCATTTGAGCAAACTTGGTAGTGACCCACGAATAAGTTTCATGCAAAATATCTAAGCTCTAGCGCTTTCTGATTTAAAAGTTTTTTTTAGGTTTTTCTATTGGTTGCGATGGCAACCAGAATTTAGCATTGAATGGAATTTTTTTAATCATTTTAAAAGGCTTCATGCTAGAAATATTACTGCTTAGATTTAAAATATCAGCCAATTGGTATAAAAAAAGATGTTAAGAGTTAAACGCCATTTTTTTGAAGGATGCATGCCGGACGCAGAGTGATCACAAAAGATCAAACCTTGAGTACTTTGTGTTCAGGTGAGATAAAAAGTGGATGACAATATGCATCATGAAATAACAAAGCTTGCTAACCTCATTGTGTGCCTTGACAAGCAAATAGTACTGGTTTATACAAACATTAGTTATCTTAAAACCACTGCTGAATGCAATACGTGAACTGGTATCTTAAGTGGAAACAAACAATAGCTAAAACATTTTACCTCTTTTTTGCTCTTCCATATTGTCTCAAGAATAGTAAATTTCTTTTTTAAATCTGCTTGTTCTTTTTCAGCCTCTAGTTGTCCTTTCTTTTCTTCAGAAATCTGTTTCTTTAGATCTGCAAGTTTGTTTTCAAGTTTTTCAGTCTCAACTTTTCCCTCTGAGAGTTTATTTTTCAGGTCCTCATATTCGTCTTTAGTAGCAGCATTTTCCGTTGATTTCAAAACTTTTGACATTTCTTCCTTGATTTGCCCAAGAATATCTTCAAAACCTTCAGTTGTAATAATGAAGTCCTTCTTCTTCAGCTGATGAAAAATAACAATTTTGTTACATTTTCTTTAAGACTACATTAGCTATGTGATTTTTAAAATTCACTCTTACATATATCATATTTTAAAGCAATATCATTTTATTTAAAAAATACCTCAATCGTTCTTTATGTTAATTTTCACACTTTTCTGTTGCATTCTTAAACTTTATAAGAAGGTGTGTTTTATAGGTATCTGGCTTTGTCCTTAATTAAGTGATATGTTACAGTACAGATAACGAGGAATATGCAAATTTCTCCGAGTATCAAGTAATCTCAAAAAGCGTGACTCCGAGTGGATTATAAATTTCTTGTACACAAAAGAGTGACTCGGCGTCGATAACGAGTGACAATTAGGTCCGCGGGACTCCGTGAATCTCCGAGCCAAAAAGAGTGACTCCGAGTAATGGTTTGCTAGATATTTATTCATTTATTAATATATTTTTATGCTCTATCTCTAAACTAATATCATTGAACGCATGTATTATTCATTAAAAATAAAAATGTTGTCGAATATTCTTCGTTCATGATGTAAAGTATCACAAGTGAAAACAAAAGTAGACAACTTGATTCATTAATATCAAAAGGAAAGATTATAACCGATGATTTCCCACACTGATAAGTGTCATATTTATCAGTTCATAAACATGTAAACATACCGCGAGGTCAGTGTATTAGACTGTGTCACTGTTCATATCAATTTTTCATTCAGGGGGTAAGTTACGATCTAAACCAGTCAATGACCCACAAAAAAGTAGACTGTGTCGCTGTGTTTTGAGATAAGAAGTGATAAAACGGAAGTTCTAGATGGAAAACCAAATGAGTACTTTTCTAATTTTTTAACTTTTTTAATTTAGACTGGAGATTCCAAGTCATACTTTTCGTAAGTTTGAGCCAATCGTGATTTTCTTGAGCCAATTTAATTATATTGTTGCCAATTTGCTAATTGGCTCCTGCCAGCGTGAGCCCTGATGGTAAATTGAAAACAACAACCGTAACAAGAGCTGTCGGTAGGACAGCAACGCTCGACTATTCTTAGTGCTTGATAGTAAAAAAAGCCTTGATTAAAAGGTAAAATTTTCTAAGTAATGCAATAGGCAAAATTTTTCTTTAAATCCATATTACAGTTATAGGCCTTGGAGAGAGTCCTATTATGCTCTCAAAGAAGAGTATAAAATTTCAACATGTTTCAAAGCCTTATGTCAATGAATTTTGAAAATATTTGAGGTATTACAAAAACTTTAACGTAAATTCTAAGTCGAAAAAGGGGCATAATTCTGTCAGAATGCTTGATAGAGTTACCTCCTTCTGTCTACATGTTGGGGTCATGATGGTGAACAAGTGTGCAAAGTTTCAAAGCCATATGTCAATGGACTTTAAAAATATTTGAGGTATTACAAAAACTTTAACAGAAATTCTAAGTCGAAAAAGGGGCATAATTCTGTCAAAATGCTTGATAGAGTTACCTCCTCCTGTCTACATGTTGGGGTCATGATGGTGAACAAGTGTGCAAAGTTTCAAAGCCATATGTCAATGGACTTTAAAAATATTTGAGGTATTACAAAAACTTTAACAGAAATTCTAAGTCGAAAAAGGGGCATAATTCTGTCAAAATGCTTGATAGAGTTACCTTCTCCTGTCTACAGGTTGGGGTAATGATGGTGAACAAGTGTGCAAAGTTTCAAAGCCATATGTCTATGGACTTTGAAAATATTTAAACTATTACAAAAACTTTAACATAAGTGGTTACGCCGGCGCTCGGGTGACTACAATAGCTCTACTTATTCTTATCGAATAGTCGAGCTAAAAATCATCTTTATTTTCGAATCGTAATATAAAATGAAATGTAAAATGTGATTGCACTTGCATTTATTTACACCAGCTAGACACCGACATGGAGTTACGCGGTAATTCTCTCTCCGAGTCATGCACTCCTATTTTCGTCTGGGAGTCACTCTCATCACACGTTTCTCACGCGGAGTCACTCGTTTTTATGGACAAATACTCTCGCGGAGTTGCGAGTGGATTCCTCGATCCTCCGAGGATTTTGCATGTTCCTCGTTATCTGTACTGTATCTTAAATCATTATAAGTTAACTCCATAAAGATTTCAAACTGACACAATTCATTATTTACACTTACATCTTGAAGTTTCTTCACTGCTATCTGGGCATCTGATCGGTGTAATAGCTCTTTACCATCTTGTAAAACTGCTATCATATCGTCTAAGTAAGTATTTGCCTCACTTTCTTCTAATTCCATGCTGCTTGAGTGAAAGATAGCATTTCTATAGTGACGAACCTATTGAATAAAAAACACAGTTTCAACATTATTGTATGCATAAATATACAGTGATTAGCAAATCAAAATTGTTTTGTAGAAAATTGTTTGGGTACTTACCTACATATAAGATGCTATCATGAATTATACAGGCATTTTTCATATATTTTACAAAAATGTCACATGGCAAATTTGGGATAATTGTGTCTTAATTTTCTATTCGAACAAGAGCCAGTTGAACCGGGTGATGATCCCCAAATAGGTTTTGGACACAGAAAGGTATACCTCTTGTAGTGTCAGAGTTATTTTACAGACAAAGTTCAAAGTGTAAAAACAACCCAAATATTGCGCACGACACATTGTCTCAATATGGCGATCATTTCTGTGAAAAAGTTGGAAAATCCGACTTCAAATAACAAAGTTATGGGCTGGACACGATTTTGCTGCAAGGTCATGCCGTGACCTTCACCTTCAAGGTAACCACCCAAATGATGCTCATGACACGTCGTCTAAATATGGTGATCATTTCTGTTAAATAGTTGTTAAATCAGACTTCAAATAACGAAGTTATGGGCTGGACAGGATTTTCCTGCAAGGTCATGCTGTGACCTTCACCTTCAAGGTAGCGCCCAAATGTTGCGCATGACACGTCGTCTAAATATGGTGATCATTTCTGTTAAATAGTTGTTAAATCAGACTTCAAATAACGAAGTTATGGGCTGGACAGGATTTTCCTGCAAGGTCATGCTGTGACATTCACCTTCAAGGTAACCACCCAAATGATGCCCACGACACATTATCTCAATATAGTGATCATTTCTGTGAAATAGTTTTAAAATCTGACTTCAAAGAACAAAATTATGCGCCAGACACGATTTTGCTGCAAGGACATGCTGTGACCTTGACTTTCAAGGTAGCGACCCAAATGTTACATGCGAAACGTTGATTCAATATGGTGATCATCTCTGTGAAATAGTCGTTAAATTCGACTTCAAGTAACGAAGTTATGGGCCGGACAATATTTTGCTGCAAGGTCATGCTGTGACCTTGAACTTCAAGGTAGTTACCAAAATGTTGCGCACGGCACACTATCTCAATATGGAGATCATTTCTGTGAAATAGTTGTAAAATCGGACTTAAAAAAATGAAGTTATGGGCCGGACACAATTTTCCTGCAAGGTCATGCTTTGACCTTTTCCTTCAAAGTAGTGATCCAAACATTGTGTGAGACTTATCGTCTCAATATTATGATAATTTCTGTGAAATAATTTTAAAATACGACTCCAAATAACGAAGTTATGGGCTGGACACGATTTTGCTGCAAGGTCATGCCATGACCTTCATCTTCAAGGTAGCGCCCAAATGTTGCGCACGACACATCATCTCAATATGGTGATCATTTCTGTAAAATAGAACTTTGTAAAATCAGACTTAAAATAACGAAGTTATGGGCTGGACAGGATTTTCCTGCAAGGTCATGCTGTGACATTCACCTTCAAGGTAACCACCCAAATGATGCTCACAACACATCATCTCAATATGGTGATCATTTCTGTGAAAAAGTTTTAAAATCTGACTTCAAAGAACAAAGTTATGCACCACGATTTTGCTGCAAGGACATGCTGTGACCTTGACTTTCAAGGTAGTGACCCAAATGTTACATGCGAAACGTTGATTCAATATGGTGATCATCTCTGTGAAATAGTCGTTAAATTCGACTTCAAGTATCGAAGTTATGGGCCGGACACGATTTTGCTGCAAGGTCATGCTGTGACCTTGACCTTCAGGGTAGCGACCCAAATGTTGTGTGTGACAGGTGGTCTCAATATGGTGATCATTTCTGTGAAATTGTTGTAAAATCCGACTTCAAATAACAAAGTAATTGGGTGGACATGAATTTGGGACGTATGTACGTCCGGACGGACATACCATTGTTACTTTTGATGTTTATGAGGCAAAGCAGCTCATAAACACCACCTGGACCAAAGTCCATAAGCAAAATAAGCTCATAAAAACAAAACAAGAGGGCCATGATGGCCCTGAGGTCGCTCACCTGTATATAGCCCCCCCCCCCCCAATGTTGCAGGGCCAATTTTGACCCCAGGGCTTTTATATGCACAAACTTGGTAGACACCTATTAGAACATGTTTGATGCTAAATATCTTAGCCATAGCTCTTTGAGTTCTTTAAAAGAAGATTTTTAAAGTTTTTACTATATGCATAGAGGGAAAATCAATGACACCCCCGGGGCGGGGCCAATTTTGACCCCAGGGCTTTTATTTGAACAAACTTGGTAGACACTTATTAGAACATGTTTCATGCCAAATATCTAAGCTCTAACTCTTTTGGTTCTTTAAAAGAAGATTTTTAAGTTTTTACTATATGCATATAGGGAAAATCAATGACCCCCTGGGGCGGTGCCAATTTTGACCCCAGGGCTTTTATTTGAACAAACTTGGTAGACACCTATTAGAACATGTTTGATGCTCAATATCTTAGCCATAGCTCTTTGAGTTCTTTAAAAGAAGATTTTTTAAGTTTTTACTATATGCATATAGGGAAAATCAATGACCACCCGGGGCGGGGCCAATTTTGACCCCAGGGCTTTTATTTGAACAAACTTGGTAGACACCCATTAGAACATGTTTCATGCTAAATATCTTAGCTCTAGCTCTTTGGGTTCTTTAAAAGAAGATTTTTAAGTTTTTACTATATGCATATAGGGAAAATCAATGACCCCCCGGGGCGGGGCCAATTTTGACCCCAGGGCTTTTATTTGAACAAACTTGGTAGACACTCACTAGAAGATGTTTCATGCCAAATATCTAAGCTCTAGCTCTTATGGTTTTTTAAAAGAAGATATTTAAAGTTTTTTCTTTCGGTTGCCATGGCAACCAGAGTTCTGCATGGAATTAAATTCTTTGAACAATTTTTTAAGGTGACCACCAAAGGAACATTCCTGTGAAGTTTAGATGAAATTGGCTTAGTGGTTTATGAGGAGATGTCATTTAAAGAAAAAGTTTACGGATGACGGCCGGACGGACGCCGGACGAAAAGCGATCACAAAAGCTCACCCTGTCACTTTGTGACAGGTGAGCTAAAATAGTTCTTAATTTGAATTTTATGAGTTTTTGTTCTTTATTTAACTACGGAATGAAGCTCTAATCAAATGTTTGCTCGGACTGACATGCGGACTGACGGATATTCTCAAAGTAATTATGTGGCTACTCTATTGTTCTCTCTATTGTTCTTTTTAGCCACACAAAAGAAAATAGCCACATAAAAGCATTACGGAATGAACTAGACCTATCACTGAAGGTGATTAATACCCCACCAGCAACTTTGACTTTTGAAAAAATAAGTTGTCTGAAGAAAAATTTGAAATAAACCTACAGAAAATAAAGTACCATCAGCACTGTGTACAAAGAATTATTTCAATTTATTGCAATCCCAACTAGGATCTTGATATAAGCTTGTTAATACACCAAGTTTGATAACAATATCTCATTCCTAACCCTAGTAATTGTCTGGAAACCATTTTTCTATTTTTAGTAACTGTGACCTTGAACCCAGGGAGTCCAAATGCAATACCAAGCGCGGTCTTCATGTAAGCTTGCTAAACACCAAGTTTGATTACAATATCTCATTCCTAACTTAAGTTATTGTCCGGAAACCATTTTTCTATTTTTAGTAACGGTGACCTTGACCTTGGCCCAAGGGGGGTCCAGATGCAATACCAACCAGGGTCTTCATATAAGCTTGCTATACACCAACTTTGATTACAATATCTCATTCCTAACTTAAATTATTGTCCGGAAACCATTTTTCTATTTTTAGTAACGATGACCTTGACCTTGGCCACAGGGGGTCCAGATGCAATACCAATCGGGGTCTTCATATAAGCTTGCTGTACACCAAGTTTGATTACAATATCTCATTCCTAACTTTAGTTATTGTCCGGAAACCATTTTTCCATTTTTAGTAACGGTGACCTTGACCCCAGGGGGTCCAGATGCAATACCAACAGGGGTCTTCATATAAGCTTGCTGTACACCAAGTTTGATTACAATATCTCATTCCTAACTTTAGTTATTGTCCGGAAACCATTTTCTATTTTTAGTAACGGTGACCTTGACCTTGGTCCCAGGGGTTCCAGATGCAATACCAACCGGGGTCTTCATATAAGCTTGCTGTACACCAAGTTTGATTACAATATCTCATTCCTAACTTTAGTTATTGTCTGGAAACCATTTTTCTATTTTTAGTAATGGTGACCTTGACCTTGCCCCCAGGGGGTCCAGATGCAATACCAACCGGGGTCTTCATATAAGCTTGCTATATACTAAGTTTGATTACAATATCTCATTCCTTACTTTAGTTATTGTCCGGAAACCATTTTTCTATTTTTAGTAACGGTGACCTTGCCCTTGGCCCCAGGGGGTCCAAATGCAATACCAACTGGGGTTTCCACATAAGGTTGCTATATACCAAGTTTGATTACAATACCTCACTCCAAACTCTAGTCATCGTCTGGAAACCATGATGTGGACCGACCGATGGACCGACGGAATGACCAACCGGCCGACAAGCTGACTCCTATATACCCCCCCTAAACTTCGTTTGTGGGGGTATAATGACATCAAAGAGGAAGAACAGTTACCTATTGTCACTCTAGCCATATAATAACTGTCCTGTGAGTGCAGACTGACGGACGGACAACCCGGCGACTATGTGCTCCCCCGAAATTTTTCGGTGAGTATAAAAAATAATTATGAAATTTATCATTTCGGAAAATATGCCAGCATTCAAAATGTTCAAATTCTTTTAACAAAGCTTAATAAATCTTATTGAAACTGATCAGAAATTAAAACATATCGGCAATTTTCAGAACCTCCACACCAAGTACAACAAGAGCTGTCAGAAGGACAGCGCGCTCGACTTTTTTAGTGCTTGCCTATAAAACAAAACTTTGACAGTTAAGGGCACACAAGACTTTAACTAGGAATTTCTAAGTACAAATCAAGAAACATTTTCACAGAGTTATCTTCTCTTGCTTACAGATAGGTCTCATGATGGCACATAAGAACTCCAACTTCCAAAGTAATATCTCAAATGGTTAAGTCAACAAGTGGACAAGAATGAAAATCTTAACTGAGTTTCTAAGTCAAAAAGGGCCATAATTCAAATAAAATCCTTAACAGAATTACCTTCTCCTGCCCATGTTTTGGGACCATGATGGTAAACAAGTATTCCAACTTTCAAATTAATATCTCAAACAGTTCAGTCAAAAAGTGGACTGGTACTAAAAACTTAACCAAGATTCTAAGTCGATAAAAGGCCTTAATTTTTTAAAACAAATCCTTGACAGAGTTACCTTCTCTTGCGTACAGATGGGGGTAATGATGTGAAATAGCATTAAAAGTTTCAAAGCAATATCTCAAAGGGTTAAGGCAATAAGTGGATTTTACCCATATTCAATGTATTTTCTAAGTCAAAAAGGGGCATAATTCTGTCAAAAACCTTGACAGAGTTTATGTCCTCTTGTCTGTTGATGAAGGTCGTGATGGTAAACAAGTATGGTCAGTTTCAAAGCAATACCTCCAATGGTTTTGAAATAAAGTGAGGTGGTACAAAAAACTTAACCAAGCTCAATACACTTTCTAAGTCAAAAAAGGGCCATAATTCTGTCAAAAACCTTGACAGAGTTATGTACTCTTGTCTGTAGATGGAGGTTATGATGGTGAACAAGTATGGTAAGTTTCAAAGCCATACTTGTAATACTTCTGAAATAAAGTGGGGTGGTACGAAAAACTTAACCAAGGTGTGACGCCAACGCTAACGCTAACGCCGACGCCGACGCCGGGGGGAGTAGGATAGCTCCCCTTTTCATAGAAAAGTCGAGCTAAAAAGTGGTACCTTTGAAACCATTGAAGAAGACTGGTAAATTTGTATACTTTTGTTGTGAATCTTTAGATTTTCATTTTCAATTTTACTTTGGATGCTGAATATACAGCATTTACATTACAATTCAGCTAATAAAAGATAAACAAGACACTTTATTAATAATTTACCTTTGTAAAAAGATTGTTTGTTACTGTGACATCACATCCAATGTGGCTATGAAAATACTGGTTATTTATCATTAGATGTAATAACCCAGTACAATCAGTTTCACCAGCAGATTGTTTCTGCTCGTACCCTGGAGCATTTATAAAACACTTACAAATGCTCCAAGGATCTGTCACCCACTGTAGAGCATCGCTGTTTTTCCAGTTAGGTGCAGGTGGCGTGGATGAATGATGCTGAACAATAAAGTCATAGATGGCGCCACATATGTTGTTCGGACAAGCATTTTTGCCCTTAAAGCAACAGCTGCATTTTACTTGTCCAAGAGGACAAACTCTGTTTTTAGCATTCCCTACTGGCTTATGGTCTGGCTTGAGAGTTTCAACTTGACAGCTGCCACACGTCACAATTGATGGTAGTGATTTTGTAGAACGAATGTTTTGTAAGATATCCTTATGTTGTTGGTCAGCTATGTCATTACAGAATGGTACCAGTCCATCCTTTAAATATCCAAGTCCTAAACCAGCCTTTACCCACTGCCTGTATTTTTCCTTCTCTAAATGAAGTTGATGTGCCATCCTGATACTCTATCAATATCTATACAAACAAAACAAAAGTATTATGTTAGATTTTATATAAATAAGTAATTATGGTCTTGAATTGCAATTCAAAGTCCAAAATACTGGGTAAATATGATATGTGTTCCTAAAAAAAATCAATTACAGGGAGAAAAAAATAGAGTAGAGATGTTATCGATCAGTATTTTTGTATTGATATATCAGTAAGGAATTATCGGCGATACAGCGATATATCAATTGCCAGGCAATATTTAGCTTTCAAGATTTTTTTAATGTTCCATAAGGACACTGACGACTCTATGCAGTTGTAATTAAACATATGCATATTGTAAAGAAACCATTTGATAAAACAAAAAAAGATAAATAAGCTATGAAAACTGAACAATTTGTTTATTTCTTTTATCATATAACTATAAATGACAACTAATGACTATAACTTTAAAGTTTAAAGCATTTTCCATTCTAATTTTATTGTTGTTGCTGCAATTACGAAGTTATTGATTAGGTTAAATCCCGTCCTTGCTGTTCAAAATATACCGTGGTTTAATAAGCAAATTATAGTGTTTACAACCTGAATAATTATTAAAGTTTAACATTTTATAATCATAATTTAATTCATACAAAGAAACACTGACACACTTTTTCTTGGCATTTTCCCTTTTTAAAATCTGAATTGAGGGGTCTTTACACCCACTTAGCAGACGTGCGAGATTACAAAGAAATTCGGCAGTATTTGTTAGAGACACAGGGAGGTAATTTGGTGTGATTTTCATTTTCATTTTGGAAAAAAAATGTTTGAAAACATTTGGCATCACAGGCGCTTGTCACTTTATCAAATATTCTACATAATCGGCCTATATTATATATATATATGTATATTAAGATTATAGTATATACTTAGTATATAGCCCATATAGAACATAAACAAGAGCCCGGTTTGAGCCGGGTGATGCTCCCCGAATAGGTTTTGGACACAGGAAAGTACACCTCATGAAGTTTTAGAGTTATGTCCCTGGAAAAAGTTTAAAGTCCAAAATTAGGCAAGGCAGAGTTACTGTTCTTTGCACTGCACTTCTAATCCTTATCAATGTGATCTATCAACCTACAAAGTTTCTTGATGATATCTCTTATGATTTCCGAGTTATGTCCCGGACAACTTCAAAAAGTAAAAATAAACAAAGGGCAATAACTCCAGAATTAGGCAAGGCAGAGTTATGATTCTTGTGCACTGCATATCTACCCATTGAGATATATCTACCTACAAAGTTTCATGTTGATATCTCTTATAGTTTTAGAGTTATGCCCCGGACAAGATTTTTCTATAAGGGGAGATAATTCAAAAACCGGGCAAAATAGAGTTATGGTTCTTTGACACTGCACTCCCCCTCAATGCCCTCTACCAGTGTATGAAGTTTCAACAAATTATCTCCATGGGTTTTCAAGTTATGCTCCGGACAAGACAACGGACGGACAGACGGAGGGACGGACAGACAGACAGACGGACAAGGCGCCGACTATATGCTCCCCCGAAATTTTTCGGGGTGCATAAAAAGTTTGCTTCAAGCACCTGTGGTTGGCATTCAATACCCTATATTTAAAAAAAATTGAAATCAATTGTAAACGTGTGACCATATAAATGATTTACAAATATTCATTAATTGAACAAACATTATTTTTTATCCAGTTTCCACTCCTCCATTTGATATGTTCTATAATAAGTTATTTCCACGCACATGCAGCACATGTAACTGCGTGACACACAGAAAATCCCTTCCCTGGTTTGTGGTTATTTATGTAAATACTTTTTTATTTATGAACCAAATTAAACGATCTATTGAATATAAAATCATTTTTTATTATAAAACACTGTATCAAGAAAAGTTAATAAAAAAATAATCAATTTATAAAATATAAGTCATATTTGGTATCTTCTGTCCGCTACGGATATGACTTTTATAGAACGTTATTCGAATATAACTTATAACTTTTTTATTTATGGACCAAATTTAACGATATTTTGCATGTAAAATCATTTTATTATTATAAAACTTTGTATCAAGAAAATATAATAAAAAAAATAATTACTTTGTAAAATATAATTCTTATTTATAAAGTCATATCTGAGAATATGAGTCATCTCCGGTATTAAGACATACCGCATATTACCTGGCGATCCGCGACATTTGGAAATGGTTGATTCAGTACATGGGTTAACGTGAAGGACAGAGGATACCGAATATGACTTATAGTTCATAAAGTTTTTTCTTCATATGATATTTTATAATAATAAAATGAAATTACATGCCAAAAATGGTTAAATTTGATACTGTAATAAAAATATTACATGTTATATTTGTTGCATGTTCTAATTTAAAATAAAAGTCATAACCATAGCAGAAAGTAGATACCGAATATGACTTTTTACAGTACTGGACACGCGAAACCCGCACAATTCGCGCATTTGCGGCAAACCCTCATGCTTTATAAACGCGAGTAAATTCGCGGCAACTTGAGACATTTCCCGCGAATTCAACTCGCGACGATTTTGCCGTGAACATTTGCCATGATTCGCCAGGAATAATACATGTTACTTTGAATAAAAAGTGTATTTAGCACTCTATGAACTTGAAACCATTCGTATATTTTAGATGATATACATGTATGAAAATTAATAAGTAGATCTACATGAAGTTGTATCAAGAAAATCTTGTAATATTTTGTAATTAAATTATTTTATTGTCTACCAATCAACTTGCATTTTGCTACCCATCACCTACTCATCTTGGGCACCTGGCATTTTTTACTCGTGAAATTGAAAGTAAAGAAAGTCTCAATTTAAGTGATAAAACATTTACAATTTTCAACAATTATAATTAGCGTACCGTAAAATTCCTATTAAACGCCCCCGGGGGCTAAACATTTTCCAAAAGGGGGGCTATTATTACAACACAGTTTTTCCTTAATTCAAAAATCACTGTAAAAATCACTGTAAATACATTTAGCAAGTGTTGGTACATTAATAACATTAAAAAGTGTTGAGGTTTGAAAGTTAATATTATACATATTTGTGTTTACTATAAATTCAAATGGATTCTGAATGATTTGAATAAAATGATGGCTTTAATTATGAGTTCAGCACTGATGAGAAGATTGTTTTCCTTATCAAAAAGCCTGAGGGGCCTTTATTAGGGGAGGGGCGTTTATTAGGAATTTTACGGTATTAGACGTAATATTGTTCTAAAAATAGAATATGTGCGAAAGTTAACAATGGATTTTAATTACATTCGTATTATTATCAAAGTAACAATTGGACAATTAATTTTGTTATCGTGCGTTCTTTGATGTAGTTCCAATTACATTTTGTAATTTTAATCTTGTTTTGTTGTTAACTAATTTTCATCCAGCACCTGATTGCTTTGTTTTCGAATACAAAATGTATACCTTGTACACTGTACATGTTCAATTGCTAAATATTAATAAATATACATGACATTTACAAGATTTTTTTCCAAGTTTTTACTATATATATAGTGAAAATTAAAGACCCCCAGGCAGGACCAAGTTGTACTTTCTAATACAAATATTGCTGTAGATTGGCCGTTAATTACTGCGATACATCGCGGCGATTTTTCGTGAACCGTCATGAAATTTGTCGAACTTGCAAGCGGCAATGTTGTACCGCATAATGTCCCGTAACGACATAGACTACACTCACGGCATAACGCGACTTTTGCGGGTTTCGCGTGTCCAGTACTGTAAGTTACATATATTGCACGCTTTGTATAAAAGTCATATCCGTGGCGGATTGAAGATACCAAATTTATATGATTTGTTGTTTTCAAACTTGTTTCTTTAATTTTTTTATTTATTTTTTGGTATTTTTTTTGTCACATAATTTAAAAAGTTAAAATAATAATACATGCAAAAAATCATTAAATTATGCCCGTAAATGAAAAAGTAACAAGTTATATACGTTGCATGTTCTAAATGTCATATCCTTGGCGGAACTTATATACGTTGCATATTCTAAAGAAAGGATTGAAGATACCAAATATGACTTATCGATGGCTCAGCGCAATACTGGTCTAAGTGACATTTTTACCAAAAATCACTTTTTTACATATTTTGATAATGTAAGGTCAAATACACATTCTGTGAAAAGTTTAGGGTAATTTATGCTTTTTTTGCCTTTTTTATTTACATTTAAAATAAAAGTCTATCTCAGGTAGTTCAATTCCGTCAGTGCAATATAGGTCTAACTTGAGTTGGTCTCTTATTGCGATGTAAAATATATCACATTTCCTCAAAAATGCTTGAGTTAGACCTTAAATGTTTTACTTCCAGGTACAGAATAATATGCATATCCCATTGAAATGTGTTATAAAGAATGTGAGAATTCATGAAAACACTAGAAATTTTTTGCCTCCATCAGTGCTTTGTATTAATCGCAAAATATTAGCCAATTGCATATCATGTACAAGTAACCTTGAAAAAAATTAATAATAATTTAGTGTCACAAACATTTATTTTGTCTTTGAAGTCATTACATCATACTCATACTGTATTATTTGATAACATAAAGTGCAGTTGAAACTATCATTTTTGTACAATTTAGTAAAAGACAGTGACTGTATATTTCTCTTGCACACATTTAAAAAATGGAAAATAACACGTGTTGCACTAGTGGATTCATAACCTCTGATCCCCTCTAAAAATTCATTTTGTTTAGTTTGACCTTTGTTTAATCATATACTGAGATTTCCTAATTCTTAGTTTTACACTTTGTTTCATATTTATAATTATGTGTTCTGCGTAAGATCATGTAAGGGGATAGACTGTACATTGTTTCACTGCCAAATCAAACTAAGCCTGTAGCACAATGAACAATTTCAGGGTTTTTTGGGGGCGTTCTTAGGCTTTTTATTTTCAAATTATTTATCTACTACTGTATCACTCTCTTTAATCAAGTAAAGTTATTAGTAAACTTTACACTATGAACTCCAGCAATACAATGGCAACATAGCGTCAACATGTGCAAATCACACTCTTCACAATACTTATATTATGCTGTGTTCTCACCGCCAATCAGATCAACTCGATCAAGCACGATCAAGCGATCGGGTACCGGTCTAGCTCGGTCTGCATGCGTGATCGGGTGTGGTCGGAGCAGTCTAGCTTGGTCGGCATGGCTCGGGCTTCCTACCCGAATTGTTTTGACATGTAGCGATCGAGTAGATAAGTGTCGAGAAGCAATCGTATAGTGATCGAGTAGAAGATCTAGTGATCGAGAATAAATCGTGTAACAATCTAGTTTGGTCGGGTATAAATCAGGTATACATGATATTACCCGATCTGTACACGATCATCTCGACTTCTACTCGAGCATTATCCGATCGCAACTCGACCTCTGTCTGATCTATTGTCCAGAATAACTAGACTGCTACCCGACTGCTACATGATCACACACGATCGCTTCCCGATCGTTATTCGACCATACACGAGTTCAAATGACCTAGATAATATATAGATGTAAACTTATTGTTGGTGTCTCATTAGCTGTTACAAATTGGAAGATAGAGCAACTTCCAAATTCTCGATTACGATCATTACGATCTGGTCGGGTGGAAATCTGGCAATGATTGAGCAGAGGTCCAGCTTGGTGGGGCTTCATCGGGGAATTAATGTGATCGGGTCGATCTAGTTGATCTGATCGGCGGTGAGAACATACAAGCATTATTGATACAATATCTTTCTGTCTGATGTGATATGTGCAGAAAAAATCAAAATATATATTATAATGACCTTTTCAGTTCTTGTATTCTGACAATTTTTTACATCACACAGCTCCATTGAATTTTCGAGAGTGCAATTGTCAAAAACTCTTTGACTTTTGTGGCAGAAACAGCTATAAGTTGATAAAAATGTTTCATTTTAGATCTAAAAGCCATTAATTTTACCTATCAAATTTAATGAAATTAAAAATGTAATTCAATATCAACTGCTTTTGGTATCAGTGTCAATGACAAAATTCAAACATTTATCCATTGTAATTGTAATTAGTGCCAATCTAAGGTGTGTACATGGTGCTTCAGGTGTGCGCCTTTTCATATCTGAATGAGTAAGTGGTTGCAAGTGTTTAAAGCACATCTAACTTTACAAAAATGATTCTGAATTATATCATGTGCTAACAATATTTTGTTCTATGAATACCTGATAGTGGGTTGTACTGCCCTACTTTTTTCTCTAAAATATGTTTGACAACCTCTTGTTATTTGGTCAAAATTTAGAGGTAAAATGACTTTGATATATAAAATATAACACTTTTCTTAAGATATGCACAGTTTTCAGCAAAACATGTCATAAAATTTGCACATTTCACGTTCAAAATATACTCTAAACAGTTGAGAAAGTAAATACAAAATATGTAATAAAATCATGGTCTAACAGCGGCTTTCATTTTCGAAAATATTTGATATTTATAAATGATTACATCATCAGAAAAGAGGACCACATACATTAAATTCATTAAGATTTAGCGCATAACAGTAAATTATCGGAATCACAGCATTTAAGCACCAATGGTGGTAATGGTGTGCATTGAGAAAATGAAATGTTTCTTCTTTGTACAAATGTGAGTTATAGAAAATGTACGTTAATCCCTGTTTTCAAACTTTGATGATATCATAATATATACCTGGATTGTCAGTCATCATTGTTCATGACTACTGTTCATAACACTATATGAATCAAAACTGTTTGCATTTTGTTTAGAATTCAAATTTATTGCACAGATAATCTGCAGTAAAAGATCTTAAGTAAATCTGAATCTCAATCAAATTGAAAAAGAAGAATTATAAGAGTGTACTTTCATCTAAAGTCAGCTAGCATGATATATTTATAGAAAAATATTAAAGGATTTAGTCTTTGTAAAGTTCTTCTACAGACTTGCAAAATATTTTTAACAATGTTTAAATTAACAAAACAATTTTGTTCAAATTTATATCAGAATATTTAACATAAAACAGGTCTAACTCAAATATTTGTACCACTTTTACCAAATTGCAAGAGGGAATTTGAGTCTAACTCAAGTTAGTCTTGTATTGCGCTCAGAATTTCAGTGCAATAAAGG